TCGCCGCGGCTCCGAGTGCGGTAAGATCGGTCACACCCCCGCCCGCTGTTTTTGTTGCCTGAACGACCTGTTTCGTCTTCACTTCGACCCGTCACCCGACCTCCCCAACTGGCAAAGCTTGCTTTGCCGTAGTGTTCAGATCTTTGATATGGACATGGATGAGATTACCACTGCTTTGTATGTGCTGTATGTCGATGACTCTAGTATGACTAGTTCCTACTACCCCTTGTTGCCTAGTGTAGGTGTGCCTAGTCCGGCCTCCCCTGCTGCATCAGGCGTAGGATCCCCTACCTTGTTTAGTCTTGGCTCCTCCCTCGCCACTCCGACCCCGGCTGCCACTGCTGTGCTCTCCTTTACCCTGGACTCTGGCGCTTCTCGTGTTTCTTTCGCGACTCCACTACGCTGACGCCGCTTGCCGCTCCCGCCGCAGTTTCCCTTGCCGACCCCTCCTCAGGTCCGTTAGTCGCCCGTAGCTCCATCACCCTTCCCTGTCCGGCGGTTCCTTCGGACTCTCTTCCAGGCCTACACATCCCCTCGTTCTCTAGGAACCTAGTTGGTGTCGGCTGCCTCCAGGACCTTGGCGTCACCACTACGTTTCTTGTTCACAAGCGGTACGCTGTCTGTACCGAGGCCGCCACTGGTGCCCCCCTCACCACGTTCCCCCGGGACCCGGTGTCTGGCCTGTTCACGCAGGACGCTGTGCCCCCCCCGGTTGGGACATCTCCCCAGGTAGCTGCGTCTACCCAGGTTGCTGCGGCTTGCTTGTGTCGGTCGCTTACTCACCCAACACTTCTGTGGCACCATCGTCTAGGTCACCCCGAGCTCCCGCGGCTGTGTCACATGTCTCAGCACGCTCTTGTCCTAGGTCTCCCAGAGTCGTTCCCCGAGTTGCCCTCCTCCCCAGCGCCACCGTGCACGCCCTGCGTCAAGGACCGGCTCCGCCGTGCCCCTCACTCCTCCTCGTTCCCCCCCCCACTGCCGCACCGCTACAGACCCTGCACATGGACGTCTGGGGCCCTACCCACGTCCATGGGCCGCGTCAAGAGCGCTACTTCCTCGTGTTTATCGACGACTACACCCGCTACACCACGGTTTTTTCCCTGGAGCGGAAGGCCGACGTGCCTGACGCTCTTATCCCGTAGCTGGTCTCTGCGCGTGTGCACTGCGGTCTCCCTGTCTTGCGTCTTCACTCTGACAGTGGTGGCGAGTTTGCCTCCGGCGTCCTTGGTCGTTTCTGTCGTGTAGAGGGCATCACCCAGACGTTCACCTTGCCGGACTCCCCGCAGCAGAATGGGGTCGCTGAGAGACGCATCGGTTTGGTCATGGAGGTGGCTCGTACCTGCATGATCCATGCCGGTGCACCCCATTTTAAGTGGTCGTTCGCCGTTCGCTACGCCGCTCACCAGCTTAACCTCTGGCCACACCCTCAGCGGTCGCAGGTTTTGCCGACCCTCCTCTGGACCGGGTCCCATGGTGACGCGTCTGCGTTCCACGTCTGGGGCTGCCTTGCTTACGTTCGTGCCTCTGGCACGGACAAGCTCACTGCGCGCACCATCCCCTGTGTCTTCCTAGGTTTCCCCCTCGACTCGTCTGACTGGCACTTCTACCACCCGCCGGCTCACCGTTTCTTTCACTCTCGAGACGTTACCTTTGATGACTCCGTCTCCTTCTACCACCGCTTTCCCCACCGTGGTCCCCCGGCTACTCCCCCCTTGTTCCTGGTTCCCTCTCCCCCGGTCGCCCCTGCTCCTCCCCCTCCCCACCCTGCCCCATCTGGTGTGTCTCACGTCACCCCCCTCCCGTCGGTTGTCCTGGTCGAGGAGTCTGCTGACTCTAGTGGCCCTGCGGCGCAGTCCTTGCTGCCCGCCCCTCACCCGATGTCTCTTCCTCCATCGTCGCAGCAGTCGTCGTCGCAGCCGCCGCCGCCGCCGCAGCCGTCATCGCAGCCGCAGTCACCGCAGCCGTCGTCGCAGCCGCAGCAGCAGCAGTTCGTCGACCCTCGGGGTGCTGGCGTTGAGGAGGGTGCTCGTCCTGGGGTTCCTGTCGTGGCTTGTCCCGAGGGGCCTAGGGGTGGTACCGCTACTGGAGAGGTTCTTGGTTCTGGTGGTGCTGGTGTGGAGTGTTCAGGAGTTGGCCGTGGAGCAGCTGGCGGTCCCAGTGTCGCCGTCGTGCCGCCGCAGCAGCAGTCGCCGTTGGTCTCAGCCCTTCGTCTGCTCGGCCTTCCGTCCCCTGACCGCGCGTCCGTGCCTCCTCCGCCGTCAGCTCCCCTTCCTGTCTATGGCCCCGTATTCCCTCCTCCGGACTCCTCTCCGGCTCGTCTTTCCCTACGTTCTCCTTCTGTCTCCTCCTTTGTCTCCTGACCCGACACCTCCGTCTCACGTTTGGTCCCGCCGTCCCGTTTTTGCTCGTCCTGTCTCTCCTGTTCCGTGCTCTCACCCTTTGTTGCTCCGTTCCCAAGAGTCTCGTCCTCCCCTCCTGCCTTCGCCTCCTCTGTCCTCCCTTGTTGCCGCGCCTCCCCCTCTGTCTGACTACCTTCGTGCAGCGTGTCCTCTTGTTCCTCGGGTCCTTGCCTCTCTCGTTACCGACCCGTCTGTTCCTGTTTCGCGTCTTGACGCTCTTGTAGCTGCGGTCGCTGACATTGCCTCTACCCGCCACCTTGACTACGCCACTGCTCTTGTCTCTGACCCTGTCTGACCTCCGTCCGTCGGGGGTGCTCCTGCCCTCGACAGCGACGTCCTGGGGTACCGGCAGTACGAGCTTGCTTTCCTGTCCGAGGCTCCTCCCCATCTCTGTTCCATGCTGCTAGTCCCTGAGGGTGACCCAGACACTTTCGACATCCCGACCCCTTGTACCTATACTGAGGCGACCTCGGGACTCTGGGCCTCTTGGTGGATAGCTGCCATGGAGCAGGAGATGGCATCTTGGAGATCCACCGGCACCTACGTCGACGCATTTCCCCCACCTGGGGTGAACGTAGTCGATGGTCGATGGCTGTTCAAGGTAAAACGCCCCCCTGGAGGGCCGCCTGTGTTCAAGGCGCGCTACGTGGCTAGAGGCTTCAGTCGGCGTGAGGGGGTGGGCATCTTTCAGACCTTCGCCCCGACCCCGAAGATGACTACTCTTCGGGCGCTGCTACACGTAGCAGCACAGCGTGACTACGAGTTACACTCCCTCAACTTCTCCACTGCGTTTCTTCAGGGCAGCCTACAAGTCAACCTGCGCCGCCCTTAGGGCTTCACTGGTACCTTCTCTCCTGGGACTCAGTGGCTACTGTGGCGCCCAGTCTATGGCTTGCGACAGGCGCCTCGTGAGTGGCACGACACATTGCGTGTTACCCTTGCTGACCTGCAGTTCTTTCCGTCCTCTACACACCCCTCGCTCTTCATTCGTGCTGGCCAGACCCCGTTCTACATCCTTGTTTACGTTGACGACCTGGTCTTCGCTACTGCAGACAGGGACGCACTGGCCTTCGTAAAGGCAGAGCTGCTGAAGAGACACACTTGCACTGACCGAGGAGAACTGCGCCACTACCTTGGCCTGCAGATCTCCAGGGACAAAGCAGCGCGCACCATCACCTCTCACCCAGTCACATTTGGTGCGCCAGGTCCTTCAGAGGTTTGGTCTTCAGTTCTCCTCCGCACAGCCCACACCTCTGCCTGTAGATCACAGGCTCTCTGCCCAGTTCCTGAGGAGTCAGTAGAGCCCAGTGGTCCTTACGCAAAGATGGTGGGTTGCCTCATGTACCTGATGACTAGCACTTGTCCAGATCTCGCATACCCTCTCAGCATCCTGGCTCGCTTTGTGGCCACAGGCAGACACCGACCACAGCACTGGGCGGCCGCTAAAAGGGTTTTGCGTTATCTAGCAAGTACATCGGGCATGGGGTTAGTGCTTGGAGGGCGCAGGCCAGTGGTCCTTATTGGGCACACAGACGCTTCTTGAGCAGACGACGCTGAAACCCTCATGTCCTCGCAGGGCTACTGCTTTAGCCTTGGTTCAGATGTCGTCTCGTGGAGACCTACTTGCTCCTCGTCTGTTGCCGAGTCCAGCTGTGAGACCGAGATCCACGCTAGTGCCATGGCGGCACAGGAGCTCCGCTGGCTGACCTTCTTGCTCACCGACTTAGGTGAGCGGCCTAGCTATGCTCCGGTCTTGTACGCTGACAACAGGGCCATGATCCTCCTGAGTCAGGGGTCTCGACTGGCAGGGCGAAGCACATCCAGCTGCGGTACTTCCTCCTGCGCGGGCTACAGCAGCGCCGTCAGGCTCGCGTAGTACACTTGGCCTCCGGTGCCAACACATCTATTATCTTTACGAAGGCGCTTGAGCCTAAAGATCATCTGCGGCACTGTGTACAGCTAGGTCTCGTTCCTGTAGCCTCTCACTTGCTAGGGCCTTGATTATGCACAGACCTTTATATACTTTTTATCCTGACTGGGCTTGTGGCCTCTCCCAGTGGCTGGACTAGTACGGTAGTGCCGTCCTGGTCTTGCTCTTGCCTTGGTTTGTACTTGTTTGACTGGTCTTTAGACCCTTGTCTCAGAGGTTGGACTAGTAGTGCCACCTTGAGCTACTTGTCTCTCAACAGGCACTGCCCCTATCCAGTCTAGGGGGTGTGTAAAACATATTTGTGTGTGATGTTGTAGACCATATAGGGTTGAGCCTTAGAGAGTACAGCCCCCTAGGTTATAATGCCATGTAATCTCACATTCTAGTCATTCTTTCAATTTGATACTAAATGTATACTCTGGTTTTAAGGGCTGTAGATTATGTTTACTGGAAGGACAGCGTTAAGTTTTCCAAGCTTCAATCTCCTTGTTCCCCAAAACAGTAGTGAAGCTGAGCTCTGGCTAAGAGCATGTTCTTACGAACCCCTTCCCAGCCAACCTCTTCCCTGACTCATGCGCTACAGTGTCGCAAAATTTGACGCGAAGTTGTTCAGTACAGTTCCGCGTGGTGCAACGCGACGCTGTGGTTGCCGAAAGTTAGGGCGGGTTCCGAAATCTTCTTTCATGCGTCCGCTTTCCTGGCATGCGCGGAGCTGTACAGCGCAATTTCGACGCGAGGTTTTCCTATTGCGGACCCCAAAACCTGGAACTTGAATCTGAAACGGAATCCGCCTGAAACGGGGTTCTGCAAATAGGCTCTCAGGCAGGCAGCAAATCTGGGAAGAAGCTAGCCTGGGACGAGGTCCGTAGGAACTCGCTCTAAGAGAACTAATGGAACGTGTGCACCAGCAGTTAATTTTACAGGAGACCCATTCACAGCCCTTTTATTCACATATCGCAGTTATCACAGCGACTCTGGTCCAGGCGTAATGACAAGGCGGATGATGAATCCCTTGATGTGCACGTAGCAGCTCAGCTGAGAGCTGGTAGCTAAAAACCTCCAGATAGGTGCCACGCGTTTAGCGGTTTTGGAAGTTGAGCTTCCTGAGTGCATAAGCGAAGACGGTAAAGAAGAGGATGACAAATCCGATGTTGACGAGCACCACGTAGCCGAGCCACGAGTGCTGGTAGCCAAACACCTCCTCCAGATACGCCTGCACTGTGGGGTCCGGAGAGACGCCAGGCACTTGAAGGGGCGTGGTCACATCTCCCAGCTGCATTGGGGGGTCGGATGGGGGGGGGGGGGGGATTGAGGCAGGAAGGGGGGATGAAGGCGCTTTGAGAACGGATGCAGCAGGCTAGATGACCGAAACACAATCATAAAAGCTGCTGGGATCGATGGAGAACTGGACTGGCCTGGTATCACAGGACTCAGCTGAAAATTCTCCGAACTCGGAGTGTGCATATGGATGGATCAGAAGAGGCAAGACGTGCAAACAGTGAAGGACTGGACTGACAAGATGGAAGCATGGAATTTCAACTTGGACAGCAATTCAGGGACAGGTTGACACCACAGTATGCGGACAGAGCGCTTATGCCAGTTGCTGCAAAGCATAACCAGGGGCATTACCTGCGAGGCATTGAGCCCATAGAGGGTCCATGAGACGGGGTTGATCCAGTAGAACCAGCGCCACCACACCGGGATTTGCTGCAGCAAACAAGTTGGGGAGGGGTTGGCAAGGCAACAGAAGGTCAGGACACGAGACAAGGCGAGTGGAAATGGGGAAAGCATCTCGCAGAAGGGAGCTGTGGCCGTGCGAGAGTGTGTCTACAGGCAGACTTCAGCAATGTGAAGCTCACCAGCCACATAGTGCTGCGAGAAACACACACTGCAAACACTTACAGGCCTTGTGATGAGGAAACCGCAGAGGAGGTTCCAGAAAGAGAAGAAGAAGCCGGAGATGACCATGGCGAGCTGCTCGTTGGGCGAGATGGCAATGGCCATGAGCCCGTAGCAAGTGAAGTAGAAGAGCGTGAGGAACATGAACAGTGTGTACCACCAGAACTTGCCCGCCGTCCACTCGAACTGGATCATGGAGTACGTGATGAGCGAGTAGATCACCGTCTGCACCAGCACGTACGGCACCTCGATGGCTCCCTGCGCCAGCGCGTATGGCACAGCGCCATACAGCCCGGCGGCGCGCTCGCGGTAGAAGACGGTGCGCTCGACTGCCACAATGGGCTGCACGGAGGCAGCGTTGTTCCACCCCATGAAGAGCGACGCCGTGTACATGGCGCCCATCACGTTGAGCAGCTGCTGCTGCGTGTCGCGCTGCTCGCCCAGCCCGAAGAACACCCCGCCGATGAGCAGCGCCATGATGGCGCAGAAGAAGTAGCGCACCGCGTTGTAGTCCGGCGCGCGCCAGTACATGCGCGCACGCTTCCACAGATTCGCGACAAACTGCACCGCGTAGCTTGTGGGATACTGCGTGGCGAAGGACAGGTCCTGCTGGCCTGCTGGGGGCGTCTTGAGGGACTCGATCAGCTCCTCGTTGGCCCGGAACTGGGCGGACTTGCGGAAGATCTCGGCGAAGTCGAGGTTGAGTTTCTCAGCCATGGCCGGGGTGGAGATGTCGAGCATCCACGTGGCGGGGTTGTAGCCGTCGGATATGGGCGGTACGCCGGGGATGGCCTGGAAGTAGTCGATCATGAGCTTGGAGTCCGTGCCCAAGGGACCCATGTAGATCACCTCGCCTCCACGCTTCATCAGCAGCAGCTGCAGGCAGGAAATGGGAGACGAGGAGAGTGAGAAAGAAGGGAGACGGGCATGAGAAAGGGGAGATGCAGGATGGACAGTGCAAGGGTGAGTGGATGCAAGCGCTGCATAACGCATATAACAATCCCACTCAATACTCGTTATAACTCACCTCATCAAAGGCCTCGAAGATATCAATGGATGGCTGGTGAATGGTGCACACCACCGTCCGCCCCGTGTCCACCGTGTTCCTCACAGTGCGCATCACAATAGCCGCCGCCCGTGCATCCAGCCCACTTGTCGGCTCGTCCATGAAGATAATACTCGGGTTCGCCACCAGCTCCACCGCAATTGTCAGCCGCTTCCTCTGCTCAGTCGACAGCCCGTTCACCCCTGGCAGCCCCACCATGGCGCCCCTCAGGCTGTCCAGCTCCACCAGCTCCATCACCTCCTCCACAAACTCCTCTCGCACCTCCCGGTCCACGTCAGCAGGGAGGCGCAGCCACGCGGAGAAGAGCAGCGACTCGTGCACCGTCACCTGCGGCGTGTGGATGTCGCTCTGCTCGCAGTACCCCGCCACGCGCGAGAACGTCTCGTGCACCTTGGGGAACCCCGACACGCGCACGTCGCCCTCGATGTACCCCCCGGTCTTGCGCCCCGCCAGCACGTCCATGAGGGTGGTCTTCCCCGCGCCGGAGACACCCACGAGGGCGGTGAGCACCTTGGGGCGGAAGGCCCCTGAGACGTTGCGCAGGAGCTGCAGGCGCGCGTCTGGGGGCGCCCCCTCGGCGCGCATTTCGGCCGGCATGTCGACATAGTAGTTGACGTTGTGGAAGGAGAGCGAGTGCGGCTCGAAGGGCAGCACCATGCCATGCTTGCCCTCAGCTGACTCTGGCTGAGACTCCACGTCTGTGGGAGCTGGGAGAGGCAAGAAGGGAGAAGGAAAAGGGGGAGGGGAGAGGGATTGGTTGGAAGGGGGGAGGAATCGGGGAAGCTACTCAAAAGGGGCAGTGTGGATCAAAGGAGCGACAGGTGCAGCAGCTACAGTCACCTCAAAACCCAGTGTGGCTGGTGCAGTAGCGGTCCAGCGCACTGCTCGCGCCTTTGCCCTGCCCCAGACAAGTAAGCCCACTTTCATTGCACCAGCCCCACCTAACTCTCTCCACTCCCCAGGCGACTCACCTCGTGACCCTGTGTGGCTGGTGCAGTAGCGGTCCAGCGCACTGCTCGCGCCTTTGCCCTGCCCCAGACAAGTAAGCCCACTTTCATTGCACCAGCCCCACCTAACTCTCTCCACTCCCCAGGCGACTCACCTCGTGACCCTGTGTGGCTGGTGCAGTAGCGGTCCAGCGCACTGCTCGCGCCTTTGCCCTGCCCCAGACAAGTAAGCCCACTTTCATTGCACCAGCCCCGCCTAACTCTCTCCACTCCCCAGGCGACTCACCTCGTGACCCTGTGTGGCTGGTGCAGTAGCGGTCCAGCGCACTGCTCGTGCCCTTGCCCTGCCGGGTGGAGCGCTTCTTACTGCCGCCCGCCGCCCCCACCACCTCGCCCGTCCGTGCGGCGTGCTTCGTCTCCAGCTGCTCCTCTGACACCACTGGCTGGGGCCGGCCCCATGCTGTTTGTAAGTACAATTTGAAGGAAATAGGGGAAAAATCAGGTGCTGGGATGAAGCACAATTTGATTGCTTGGTGCTACCCCCACCAACCACCTCGCCTGTTCACGCTGCATGCTTCATCTCCGGCTGCTCCTCCGACACTGCTGGCTGGATGGATAAAGGGGGACGGGAGGGGGTAATGTTTAGAGGGTACGAGGGAGAGGGCTAACAGGCTTACAAGTAAGGTACGCAAGAGCCAGATAGTGAGGAGGTTGTAAGGATGAATGCAGAGAGTCAGGAGAGGGACGACGGAGAGCGAGAGGTTACGAGCTTACGATGGACGCATACACGGGCAAGGAGGGTGAGGATGTCGGAGACGAGAATGTGTCCCATGATGAGCCACACACATCAGGGGACGAGGCGGAGGGGCTAGGAGCTTACGATCGAGGTACGCAAGGGCGAGGATGGTGAGGAGGTTGAAGAGCAGGATGTAGCCGAGCAGCGCCCCTACGCCGATGCCCCTCCACTTGTCCTCCGTGGCCAGCGAGCGACTCTCCAGCAGCACCTGCCCCATGGTAGCCGTTGGGGGGAACAGGGGGCCTGCAGACTGCACAGGAGAACACAGACAGGGGCGAGAGGGAGGAAAGAAATGGAGAGATATGGGCAATGGCAGCTTTGAAGTGTTCAGGGCTCGGGGTTTGCGCATCTGGGACTGATTTTAGGGTTGGAATCAAGGACCGGTGCGGGAAAGAGCAGCAGGCCTGCGGACTGCATGTGGGAGGGTCGTGCATGTTGTGTGGGCAACGTTCCACACAGCACACTTTATCGCCAGCAGTCAATCACTCCACTCCCAGCAACCGATATAGCACTCCCCACGTTCCACCTGGGAGTGAGACACTCGTTTACTGACAGGTGAGGTGAGAACCCGTTGCGTTGAGTTGAGCACACAATGTTACTTGAGTGGGCTGAGAGGCGATTGGGCACTCACCACGTTCCAGCGCGGCGCGAGGAACTCGTTGACTGCCAGCGCGTTCTGGCCGTACATGAGAGGCGAGAGCCAGTACGCCCAGATCCACACGTCGTGGATGTCAGCTGTGGGTGGGGTGAGAGAGGGGTAAGGGCGGGCGAGAGGGGTACAAGACAAGAAGCGGGGTGGGCGAATGAGGGAGAGGAAGGAAGGAGGGACAGACGAGGACATGGAGGCAGGATGACATTACATACAAGGAGGGAGGGAGACGCCTATGGATGTGTTATTGTGATCCACACACGCATTATAAACCCCCAGTTTTACCTTTAGCGAGTATGAAGCCTCCGAGCAGGAAGAGCAGGATGAGGGCGAAGGAGCCAAAGGTGTTGGAGACGACCATGCTGCGACCCACGGCGCCGATGAGGCGGAAGAGCGATATGGCGACCTGGTGGATGAGGAAGAAGAGAAACATCTGCATGAAGAACCTGCAGGGGTTGGGGGGGGAGGAGGGGAGGAGGGGAGAAGGGAAAGGAACAGGATAGAGGGAAGGCAGTGTCAAGGAAACAAAGGTGCATGAGGAAGAGGGAGACACCTGCAAAGGGGGGTGGGGAGAAAGGGAAAGGGGGAACTTGGGTGGGAGGAAGAGGAAAGGCGGAAGGTGTGTTGATGGCGGTGAGGAAGGAGAGCTGCTTGCGCATTGAAATGCATGGAGACGGGGAGGGGGGGGGGAGGCAATGGGGGAAGAGGTGTGAAACCCTCGACGATAAATGGGAAAGGATGGCGGGGGCAGGGAAGGGAGGGAGGGAGTGTGAGTATCCAATGCAATGATGGCGGGCAAGAAAGACAAGGGCAACCACCTGCGCTCAGGGCATGGCTTACCCATCAACCCTCCCACCTCCGACAGCTCTCCCATCTCACACATGCCACCTTCCCACTTCCCACCTCCCTCCTTACCTGCCCGGTTCAGGCGCGAAGCCGATCACATAGTAGGTGACGGCCGTCCAAATGATCGACGCCCATGCAGAAAACGGCACGGAGAGCAGCTCCATGGGGATCTCCCACGCCCACGCGGGGTACAGGAACGAGTCCCTCTGGCGGTAGAAGATGGGCAGGCGCATGGTGAGCAGGGTTAGCTCGGTGAAGCCGTTGAAGAGCATCATGATGAGCCCGAAGAAGATGGCGCCCAAGTAGTAGTTGCCGTCCTGCAGGGACACGTCCAGCGTGGTGCGGAAGAAGACCGTCATGGTGACGAGCGCGATGAGGATGATCTGAATGGTCTGCGCCACGTACAGGAACGCGTTGCGCTGCATCAGCAGCCACTCCCGCGCAAACACCGCTCGGAACACCTCCGAGGTGGGCAGCGCGTAGCGCTCGTGGGCCAGCGCGCCCGGGAGGCTCTTTTCTTTGGGGAACGGCACGGAGAGGTGAGCCGTAGTGGCCTTGCCAATCTGCGTGTCCTTGAACGCCGCCTCAAACGCCTGTGCCGGGACGTAGTGGTACGGCTGGGTGGCGGCCGCACCGCTCCAGTACTGCCCCTGGTCCTTCATCGACGTCACCTCCTGCAGAAAATCCGCCTCGCCCTTCCTGGCGGGGCTCTCGAACCCCAGCGCCTGGAAAAACGGCACCACCTGCTCCCTTGGGCCGTGGTACACCACATGGCCCTCGGAGAGCAGCAGCACGTCGTCAAAGAGCACGTAGGTCTCGGGCGCGGGCTGGAGGAGCGCGATGAGGGTGGTGGTGTCGTGCAGGTGGGTGAGGTGGCGCAGGCAGCGCGTGATGAGGAACGTGGTGGAGGAGTCCAGCCCGGTGGAGATCTCGTCCATCAGGAGGACCTGCTTGGGGCCCACCAGGGACACGCCTGTGGTGACGCGCTTCTTCTGCCCGCCTGAGATGCCGCGCAGCATGTCGTTGCCCACCACGGTGTCGGCACAGATGTCTAAACCGAGGAGCTGAGAGGGAGAGGGGGAGAGCGGGGAAGAGCGGGGAGATGGACGCATGTTAAGCCAATATGCATTGAGATCGAGCACTCTTGGTGCAATTGTGAGCTGCAATCGAGCACAGGTCTAAACAATTAGCCATTTTAATGACTTAGCATTTGTAAGCATTCAATTCATAGCCTTACTCTAAGCGCTCAGCCTCACCTTGAGCACATAGTCGGTGATGACGTTGGTGGGATTGCCCTCTAGCGCCATGGCCTGCAGGAGACGTTAGTGTACCGGGGGGGAGGGAGGGTGGATGGGAGAAGGGGGGGGGCGATGAGACAAGAACATTGTAGGGACCGGTGTGAGGAGAGGAAGGAATGAAGGAGCAGATTACGAGCATGAGTCAATTTCATCACGCAATGTGATGTGATGAACATTGCGTGAGATTATAGCGCGACCATGAGCTCATCATGCAACGCACACCTCCCACCACGTCATGTGTGCCTGCGTTTGTTTCACCAGCATTGGCACGAGCCGAAAGTAGAGCCATACATACATTTAGGATGACCAATTCATGGTATGGTATGGTATGGTCCCATCCAGCAAGCCGTGCACACCGTCGTCATGCCAGCCAGCCATACACTCAAAACGCGGAACCTGAGGCCTGTCCCCTGAGCCCAAACCCGGCTGACCTTCATGATGGCATCCATGGTGGCGTCAGGCACTATCCCCTGCTCCGCCTCGCGCCTCTCCAGCTCCGCCACCAGGTCTGCCGCGATGGGGGGAACAAAGACGAGAGGGGCAGGGAAAAGTGGGGACCAGTGGGACAAGGGTTTGGGGTTACGAGCCTTGCCCCTCGACCTGTCGGCATAATGCCGTACTCCACCTGGATCCTCTCCAGCTCTGCCACCAGTCTGCAGCGATGAGGGGGGCAAGAAGGGTAAGGTGAGAGGACGCCTAAAGCAGATCGGGATGGATGGGACAACGAGGAGGGAGGGGAGGGGGGGGAGAGAGAGGCAAAACCCGACGCACCTTTCCTGAGCCCCGGCCCCTGCAGGCGGGCAGAAAAGTCGAGCGTCTCGCGGACGGTCATCTCGCCAATGTGCTCGTCGTTCTGCGGCACGTACACCGCCGTGCGCTCAGGCACGAACTCGTTAAGAGCATGCCCGTTATAGGTGACGCTGCCGGATACCTGGAATGAGAGGGGGAAGAGGAAGGATGGAATGAGGAAAGAGGGGCGAGAAAGGAGGAGGGGCGAGGTAAGGGGAGGGGCGAGGAGAGCACAACGCTCGGAGCTGAAATGGAGTGACCAAGGTAACAACTTCCAAAAGGCGGTTGCTTGCAAACTGGCATAGCCTCAGCATCCCCGCAATGCAGCGCCTGCATGAGCGTCGACTTGCCTACACCCCGCGGCCCCTCAAACCTCGCCTTGTCCCCGCTATAAGCCTCACCTTGAGTGACTTGTCGTGGCAGCCCGCCAGCGCCTGCATGAGCGTGGACTTGCCGGCGCCCGGCGGTCCCAGCAGCAGGGTCATGCGGCCCGGCCTGAGCACGCCGGAGCAGCCATGCAGAATGGGGTAGGGACGGCGCGAGTCCGGCACCAGCCGGAGCGAGCGCAGCGCGCCCTGGGTGGAGGGAGGAAAGGGGGGAGGTGGGGAAGGAGGAACGGCGGGTCAGGAGGCGCGAAAAGCGGAGGCACGCAGGTGGGCGTGAAAGCGAGATGCATGGCGTGATACTGGGCAGCGAGGGGGGCTCACGGCAAGCGCAGGATTTGCGGCGAGGGCAGAAGCGGGACTGACGTGGAACGACTTGCGCGGGGAATTGAGCAGCGCGGGCAGCGCGCGTGTCTTTGCCGACAGGCTAAGACTCAAGGCGAGCGGGAGGGGGACTCACGGCGAGCGAGTTGCGCGTGAAGTTGAGCAGCGTGGGCAGCGCGCGCGTGCCGACGTACACGCCCGCCTCCACGTTCAGGTCCTCGAAGCGCACCTCGACCGACGGGAGCGTCAGCCCCACGCTGGATGGAATCGGATGGCATTGGAAGGGGTTTAGGGGAGGAGAGGGGAGGGGAGGGGACAGGAAGAACGGGAAGGAAGGTCGGACTAGAACGGGAAAGGGAGCACAGTGGTCGTGTCTTCTTTTCCATACATACAAAAAGCTCGTCATCTATCTTCCCCGGACCCGTGTCTTCCGTGCGATCATAGTGGCTGTGATTCTCCTTCAACACCATGATAACGCATCTCCCCAAAATTCGCCAAATCCCTTCCTCTCCGCGACGCCTCTCTTCCGCTCCGCGTAAGGATACAGCGCGTCGCGTCTCGAACACCTCAAGAGATCCTAACAGCCAATGCGCCTCCAGGGTTTCCTAAGGATCGCCTAGCTGCCCCAATCAAGCGTCTCGAGCGCGCGTTTATCGCAATGTTTCTCGAGCATATCAGCGTTTAGAGCTCACCGGTCGAGGCGGCCCCTGAGCTTCTTAAGGAAAGCCTCGTTGTCCTGGTCGAGCGTCTCAAGCGCGCGCTCCACCAGCCGCTCCCGCTGCGCATGGGTCAGCGCGCGCACGTCCACCTGCGCCAGCTCCGCCTCCCCCGCCTTTCCGCCGTCCTTCAGCGTGCCCGCGCCCAACGTGCTTCCGCCCTTGGGGAGCACCGCGGTGTGCAGGCGGTCGGACGGGGGGAGCTGCTGCAGCTGCGCCCATGCCGCGGGGTCCGCCGCCGCTGGATCGTGCTTGCCTGCGACGAATGCAACGAGCGAGAGATGGATGGAAATGAAGGGTTAAAAGCCCTCCGAAAGCGAAACCTGATGAAGATTATATATTTCTCTGCGTTAATTCGGAATTTTGGCGCTCCATGCGAGCACCTACGATGGTTGACAAATGCAAGCTGAGAAGAAGCCATGGAAGTCGACAGACGGACGGACGGAGGCGCAGGCGAGCAGCGAGAATCGCAGCTCGTGACAAGTTGAAATACTTTATGTTTATAAGTTAGGGTGGACGTGAACCGCTCCAACCAAAGGAGAAAGCTTCGCGATCACAATGAGCACACAATGGCTGGCAGCCGCGAAAGCGGAGACTCACCGACAGGAATGTCGCCCGGCATGGCGACTCCTAGCAGAGAGGATAGCAAGGAAAGTCGCGGCCACCAAACGCAGAGGTGCGGACACTCAGTACTACTCCCGAAAGAGGAATGGAGCACAGTGGAGCAGAAGTGGGAACAATGTTCTTGATTTGTGAAGGCCACAGGGAGTAGACTGCGCTTTGTAGCAAACAAAGCAAGTGTTAGTTTGGAGGAGATCGCTCGCTGCTCGATTCAAACTATCGGATTACGGCAATTGATCAGGTGGGCCTATCAAGAAGCACGAAACTGTCGCATGGATGATTTGCGATATCACCTGGGCGACTGGGAAAGGGCCTCGCTATTATCGTTCGGCATTTTGATGTTTGTCTGTGTGAAATGGAGAAGCCTGGCGGTGGTTTTTGTATGGCGGAGGGGAGAGAGTGAACCTGAGCCACAAGAGCCAACCAGCTTGGGCCAGTGGGGATAGCGGGAGGAAAGGGGAAGGCAACCGACGTGGCGCTTTACTAATGGTGGTGGTGTCATCACATCGCAGGCCCGAAGCTGCGCTGTAGCTGCCTTGCAGCGGGAATGTAACAGGCGACTCTCGTCGTGCTCGCGAATGTTACATCAATGACGTCATGCTCTTCAGGTATGTAATTTACACGAAGCTTCATTTGAGGCTCGTTGTGACGAGCTTGCGGCAGTCGTATGGATGACGCCAGCAGTTAGGTTCGATTTTATCTCGAACACCTACCCGATAAGGAGTCTTATAAGGAAATGGTATTTCCTTATCATGGGTTCTTCTAATGAAGTGCAGAAAGGGAAAGTATACCGGCGCTCAGTATTAGGGGCCTCGATAACATATACGGTCAGTGACACGATATAAACAATCAGAATTAGCGAGTTTGTAACATGTTTAATCAGTCGGGTGCCATCGTTAGTCAGAAATTGTAGGAAAAAAGTTCCACGAATAGTCAGTAGAAGTAAACCCTGGCCGTCGATGACCATTTTCCCGCTCGCGCCAGCCCAATTTCATCATCATTGCGGCTAGCGCGATATTTTTCCCAAGCTCCATGCGCAGTTTGAGAGAACTACGTAAAGTTTTCCCAAATAAAAAATCGTTAGACTTCGCACACACAAAATTCCAAAATTGAGACATTGAGCATTTATATCACATAAGCAAATTGGGCCACTGTGGGGCGCACATCGGGTGCGACATTTTTGAAACATTAACAAACGCAAAAAAAAAAAAAAAAAACAAACAAACAAACAAACAAACAAACAAAACAAAACGAAAACATTTGATACGAAAGAGCAAATCTATCAGGGATCGGTGCTAAGCCAATGGGGCTTGAGTATTAAACTGTATTGCGTGTGCGCTAATCTGTTTCGAACATGACAAGTCTTGTAGAGTCGTGATTCGGCGGAATTTTTTTTCGGTGAAATACATTTGTTTGAAAACATAAAAAGACAACCGCCAGATCAAAGTGACCCTTTTCCTCACCAGTTCTCAACCCGGATATTTTTCCCTACCAGTCACGACTACTTCGACTGCTGCACCGCTCAGTGACATACGGATCCTAGCATGATTCTAATAGTGCAAGGATGCACTGTCAACCGTGCTATGTTATTCTAAGTTTCGTGGCAGATACGCAATTTTTCGCCACTCTGCTCGTAATTTTTACCTACAACGGTGCGATGAAGACGATCCATGATAAGACGAGACCAATCGACTAATGGCATCTTTGGCCACACCTCAGCATGGCTAGTCTTAGAGATAACATTCAACATGAAATCGTGCACAGTATTCTTGCATATGTTCAAATACTTCGCGATTTTCCTAGTGCTCACCCCCTTATGCAAAAGCGTGGGTCCAGGAAGAGTGCGAGAAGATCCCTGTAAAGGTTTGCACTAACCTCGTAGATAACATGCCTAGGAGGGTGTAGGTGGTGATCAAGGCCAAGTGTCGGTTGACTAGGTACTAGTTTTGCTAGTAACTAGTTTGCTGCCTGTCCCCGGTACAAATTGTCCGGATGTGCTGTCATTAAATGTTGTCGTCTTGAAGGACCATGAAATATACTACTCTGGTTTTAGGAGATTTGAGTGAGTGCTCTAAGTACTCCTCTCTACGTGTATGGCCACCATGAATTAAGGCTTAATGTTTATAGCGTACAACTCGTTAAAATGTGTCCACATTCTAAACATGTGGACAATTGTTTCCGCCACTGTACGTTGCTAGAGGCTTTAGTCAGCATGAGGGTGTTTACTTCTTTCAGACTTTTGCCCCGACCCTGAAGATGGCCACTCTGCTGTACGTAGTAGCACGGCGCGACTACGAACTGCAGTCCCTCGACTTCTCCACAGCGTTTCCCTCGGGTAGTCTGCACGAGCAGGTCTACCTGCACCGCTCGCCAGGCTTTACTGGCAACATCGCCCCTGGGACCGAGTGGCTCCTCTGGCGTCCTGTGTACAGCCTACCGCAGGAGCCTCACGAGTGGCACGACATGCTGCGTGCAACGTTAGCTGAGTTGCAGTTCTTCCCGTCCTCTGCAGACCATTCGCTCTTCGTTCGCTCAGGCCAGACTCCGTTCTACATCTAAATTTAAATAGACGATATGGTCTTCGCTACTGCAGACACAAACGCACTGGCCTCTGTGAAGGCTTAGTTATTGAGGAGACACACCTGTACTGACCTAGGAGAGCTGCGCCGCTACCTTGGCCTGCAGGTCTCCCGGGACAGAGCAGTGCGCACCATCACTCTCACACAATCACATTTGGTGCGCCAGGTCCTTAAGAGGTTCGGTCTTCATTTCTCCTTAGCCCAGCCTACAACTCTATCAATAGATCACAGGCTCTCAGCTCCAGTCCCTGACGAGTTAGTAGAGCCCAGTGCTTCGTAAGCAGAGCTGGTGGGTTGCCTCATGTACCTGATGACTTGCACTCGTCTAGATCTTGCATACCCTCTTTGCATCGTGGCTCGCTTTGTGGCGACAGGCAGACACCGACCCCAGCACTGGCCGGCCGCTAAGAGAGTTTTGCATTATCTAGGAAGTACATCGGGCATGGGGCTAGTGCTACGAGGATGCATGCCAGTGGTCCTTACAGGGCACACAGACTCTTCGCGGGCGGATGACGCTGAGACGCTCAAGTCCTTTCAGGGCTATTGCTTTAGCCTTGGTGCAGGCGCTATCTCGTGGAGGTCCACCAGCTCATTGTATTTTGCACAGTCTAGCTGTAAGGCTGAGATCTACGCTGGTGCCATGGCGGCACAGGAGCTCTACTGGCTGAATTTCTTGCTTACAGACTTAGGTGAGGGGCCTAGCTTTGCCCCAGTCTTGCACGCTGACAACAGAGCCATGATCCTCCTGTGTCAGGAGCCTCGACTGGAGGGCAGAGCGAAGCACATCCAGCTGCGGTATTTCCTCCTGCGCGAGCTACAGCAGCGACACCAGGCTTGCGTTGTTCACTTGGCCTCCGGTGCCAACACAGCTGATATCTTTACTAAGGCGATTGCACTTAAAGATCATCAGCGGCAATATGTACACCTTGGTCTAGTTTTAGTTGCCCCTCATCTGCTAGGACCATGATTGTGTACAACTCTTTATATTATCTTGACTGGCCTTGTGGCTCTTGTTTTGGTGACCGGACTAATAGTGTCGCCCTAGGTTGCTTCTATCTAGTTTGTACTCTTCTGACTGGTCTTCAGACCCTTGTCTCAGAGGTTGGACTAGTAGTGCTACCCTGAGCAGCGTGTCTCTTCCTAGGCACTGCCCCTTTGTCTAGCCTAGGGGGTGTGTTAAATCATATTTATATGTTGCTATAGGCTAGATAGGTGCATGCTCTTAGAGAGTACAACACCAAAGCATAAGAACCCTTATATGCCCTTGTCTACTTCACTTTATTCGGCTAACTTAGTGATCTGGATATGAAGGTTCCGGTAAACCGTACTTGCTCAGAGTACCACGCATAATTTATATCAGATACAGCTTGCCACGATCTAGAATACTGGATCCTGTAAAGTCAGAGTAAGGCTCATTGTAGGGAAAATATATCGGCGCTGAGTATTAGGGGCCTCGATAACATGTACGGTCAGTGACACGATATAAACAATCAGAATTAGTGAGTTCGCAACATTTTTCATCAGTCGGGTTCCACCGTTAGTCACAAATTACAGGAAAAAAGTTCCACGAATGGTCAGTAGAAGTAACCCTCGCCCGTTTCGGAACGTTTTCCCGCCCGCGCCAGCCCTATTTCGTCATCATTGTGGCTGGCGCGATATTTTTTTCAAGCTCCATGCGCAGTTCGAGAGAACTACGTAAAGTATTCCCAAATTAAAAATCGTTGGACGTCGAGCACACAATATTCCAAAATTGAGACCTCGAGCATTTCTGTCACATAGGCTAATTGAGCCGTGAAAATTAAACTGTAGTGCGCGTGCGCTAATTTGTTTCGAGCATGACAAGATCTATAGATTCGTAATTCGGCGGATTTTTTTTTCCGGTAAATACATTTGTTGAAAAAATCAAAAGACAACCGGCAGACTTCTAATAGATTCGTTGTATTGAAATTAATACACAATTAAATGCGGTTATGAAAGCACCTTAAAGTGTTTTCAAACATATTCATTTCTCGAAAATAAACCTCCGTAGCTATCTATATATGCTTTTGTTTTTGGGCGACTCGGGAATGACAACAAGTTTATGACTTGACTTTTTTTTTGGGCCGTTAATGCGGTAGAGATAAAGCCGCCATTTTTTATCATCGCGAGACGCGCTACACTCTGTGACAAAAGTATGTGCTTCGAAACAAAATCGTGTTTTCGTTTTTCTCGACTAACAAATGTCCAACGATTTTTAATTTGGGACCATTGTTTGTTTTTGCTCGAACTGCGCTTGGACCTCGGGAAAAATATCGCGCCAGCCCCAATGGTGACGAAATCGGGCTGGCGCGGGCGGGAAAACGTTCCGAAACGGGCGAGGGTTACTTCTACTGACCATTCGTGGAACTCTTTTCCTGTATTTTGTGACTAACGGTGGAACCCGACTGATGAAACATGTTGCGAACTCACCAATTCTGATTGTTTATATCGTGTCACTGACCCTACATATTATCGAGGCCCCTAATATTGAGCGCCGATGTATTTTCCCCTCATTGTAAGGGTAAAAAAACTGTAGTACACAAGGTTGGTAACAATGGGAGCTATATGTCGATCAATAACCAAAAAGTGTATTTCCATATATATTGTGACTATTCATGTAACTATGCCTAGTGCTTGCTCGTGTGATCTAAAATAGCATGGCTTTTCAAGTGACAATTCATGCAAACCTTGTGTTCGCAAGATGATTTGCTACGTGCTTATGTCACTACCGAACGTCCTTTCATGTAAG